GGCGAGGAAACCTGTCAGCTCTTACCCATCTCGGTCGACACTGTTCCACGTGGAACATGTTCAACTCGGGAATCCCGTTCGGCCTTAGGAGGATAGACACATGTGGTGGTGGTTGACAGGCGAGGTTTGGGCGCTCCCATTATACCTAATGGAAACCTACCAGGGGTTGTTCCCCCTGGCTTCGATATGGAGCTTCAAGGTGATGGATATACCATCTGCTGTTTGCCTGCGTGGCATTTGTTTTGAAACTTCTTTTTCATGGGTAGCCATCTGCTGGCTGGAGCGACAGTTGACTCAGGAGTAGTCTGTGGGTCATCTGTTGACCAGGTGCATGAAGACTTTTCTGGGTGGCCTGGTGCAGCCTGTGGCGAGGCTTTGTTGATTGCGCGGATGCTTCGTTGATGTTGGCTTTGGATTCGTCCATGCTGGTTCATGTGGTTGCTTGGTATATTTGGCTCGTCGTTTTAGACGAGAAAAATTCTGGTAGCTTTTACAGTTTAGTTTGTGGTTTTCATTTGTGGATGCTTCTTTGTTTTGTTGCTAGCCGAGTTAGGTGAGAGATTTGTCGTCTTGTTCTTGATTGATTGGGTTTGTCATTGTTTGTGGTCCAGACGAGGTGAGAGCCCAAAATCTTCTCACGTTTCTCTTTGCCTCTCTGTACTTGCTTGGATTTTGGTCGGAGCTTATGCATCTGACCGTCAGGATGACCAGATTTGAGACACACGAGGAGAGACAGAGAGACAGAAGATTACGGGTTGTGGTTCCTTTTCGGTTTGTTGTTTTAATTTTAGATTACTTTAGAATGCTAAGGGACAGATGAGTGAGCATCGCTCTGCAGGAACCCCATTATGGAGGGCGGTGGGGTTCCATTGGGGGTTGACGCAGATTGGTGGAGTAGACTGCCCTAAATCACGAGGAGGTGGGTGCACTGGGTGGGTTTGCGGGGTCTTCGACCCCTGCCGCGCGGGAGGTAGGGCATTTCTGCTCATTATGAAGATGCGGTAGGCGTTTGTCTTCTTATCAGCGGTCTCAGGTTCTGCTATCATCCGATTTTTTGACGTAGATTGGTGAGCATCACTCTGCAAGGGCTTCTTCATGGAGGGCGGAGAGGCTTCCATTAGGGAGTGATTCAGATTGGGGGAGTGGCCTAAATCGCGAGGAGGTGGGTGGGTTTCGCGGGGCCTCGGCCCCTGCCGCGCGGGTGGTAGGGTATTTCTACTGGTTTGCAACCACAGCATCATGGTGGGAGTTGCTGTTTTTGGTGTATGGTGAGTGAAGGTTTCTTTTCGGTGGTGCAATCCGCTCTGAATCAAGAGGAGTTGGGTGGGTTTTGCGGGGTCTGTATCTGCAGTTGGGGGTCTGTAGGTACAGTCCCCTGCTGCGCTGGTGGCAAGGTGGTTTTGCCGGGTTTGGCTATAGTTGCGGATGAATGGGGGACTTTAGTTGGTTCTTTTCTTCTTTGTTAGGGTTCGTTTTCGAGTAGCCACTGTCTAGTCTTTGGTTGGAATTTCTTGTTGTTTTGTCTTGGCGGTCTGGGCATGAGCCCGGACGGAGCTGCCGGGACCTTCCACTGTGACCACTATTTTTGTCATGGACGGCGGGCCCGTTTCCTGGCTTTGTTTAAAAAGAATAATCGCGCCGCAAAAAAAAAAAACAAAAACAAAAAACAAAAAACAAAAAAAACTTCTTTTATTGAAACCTTTGAATTGAAGTGGACACCGCCTTCAGGTATAATAGACGGACTCACGGGCTCACGGGTCCCGCCGGGTAATCCACGGTTATTCTTCTGATTGGCAGGACTCGAACTCCACTCTCTTCGGACCTCGCTGCACTACTCTCCAAATGAGCAAAATGAGACTGAATCCACTGCTAGAACATGGAAAGATGGGTTGCCGCCTTTTTCGTATTTTGTGCACGTGGAGAGTAGTGCAGCGAGGCCCTTCATTCATGAGGAGTTCCTGGGCGTGCCATTCAGCCACATTAACGGCGTACTCACAGTCAGTGCCGGTCTCGTGAACTTGACCGACACCGGTCACCTGAACGTGACCGGCTGGGCGGTCACCGGGGCCAAAATCCGCGAACGGCCGTTCACGGGTTTTCTGCCCACCTGGGTGCCGGTACGGTCGGGATCGGGGCGGGAGGGGGTGGCGCGGGGGCCTTCTACACCCCGTGCCTTCAAATCTAAAAAAAAAAAAACAGAATGGGGTGTCTTAGAAATAAAATAAAATAAAATAAAATTTGGGGGTACAGGTGGGTGGGGTGTTGGCACAGGGCCCTGTGGGAAACGAGGCTCGACCGTTTTTTTTTTTTTTTTTTTTTTTTTTTTTTTTTTTTTTGTAGTATGGCGCTGGCAGCCTGCCGCAGTGTCATGATGTCATCATAATATCATCATGATTGTTTTTTTTAGGGCCCAGAACAGCCTGCAAATGCCCCACATGGCCGACGAAAGCCATGCCTAACACAAGCAGTACTTGATTTTTTTTTTCAATAAAATTAAAAATATATATTTCGATCAAAAAAAAAAAAAAAAAAAGGGCAGGTGCCCGTTGACATGGAGCACAAAGGTGTGCAAAGAAAACACCCCCCCTACAAGCCAAAAAAAATCACCAGGTACGGCACTGCTCACAGTCGCACTATCTTGCATGTATCTGATCGCAATACAGGCCAAACCTGGATGGCGCCATTACGTCCCCTTATCAGTATAAAAGTCCTATTGTCTTCACCCGAAGAGAACGCCCGCCCGGCCATTATAGCTGTATTTGATGCAACTTTCAGTCCAGATACGGCCATAATTACGGGGCGACGGTACTGTGAGTACGCCCTGACTGGGTGCACACTGGTGGTCTTCTCCTAACGCGCGTGCCAGTATTGTGTCTTTTTTTTTGTGTGTGTGTGTGTTTGTTTCAAACAAATTGGTTGGTTGGACACTGGTCCACAGCCCCAGGGCCTCGTGCGACACCATTTGAACTCAAGCGTTGACGGAAAATCCCTTCCTTCCMCCCCCCYCCCAAATGAACCTCACGTCCCCCCCCCCCCCCCCSCCTTCTAATGTTTCACTTTGATTTGAATTCCTGCTCTCAAGTGTGCATACTCGACACTCTCAAGTGCAGCGAGCAAGCTGCCAAGCGCTACACCTCCCGTTGCCGCCCCCAGCAAGTGCCACCTTTCCGCCCAGAGCAAGTGAGCTTCCGTGCTATACACTCTACCAATCCAGATGAAATAGGAAAAACACAGTCCGCTGATGATGCCAGATCCTATATGATGCACTGGATTGCTTGAAGCCGTGGATGGTCAGGGCAAGTAGAGTCCTTCGGGGCAAGTAGAGTCCTTCGGGAGGTCCGTTAAAATTGGAACGATACAGAGAAGAAGAAGATTAGGGTCAGATCCCACTACCCTCGAGTATTCATTTTTCACCATCGATCACGAAGATCAACGGTCAGAAATGTACAAGAGGAGCTAGTGGGATCTGGTCCTTAGCATCACCCCGCCCTGCACAAAGTAAGGATGACATGCATAAATCGGAGGGAGTAGAGTCCAAGCCGTGGATGGTCGGAGCGAGTAGAGTCCACTGGAAAGGGAATGAAGTCTGTCCGTCGTCTATAGATGGGATCTGTGCCTGTGGATGGATGGGAAAGGTTCCAAGGAGTCCCAATTCTTTTTTTGTTTTTTTTTTGTTTTCATTTTTATTTCCTATTTTTTTAAGTTCCAGTCGTTGTAGGAAATCGAACCGCAAGAGTTCTGTTCGAGTGACTGAGAGGCTCGTTCGCCACCACTTGAAAATACACTAATTTTCAAGTGCACATTAGATGAGAAATTGTGATTAATTTACACTTAGCGTAAGTCGATTTATGGTTCCGTGTACGCTTGAGGAAACCCTTGAACAATGGTTCCATGTACACTTGAGGAAACCCTTGAACAGGCTGCACTTCAAACCTAACTCCATGGCTTGACCAATCTTGGACCAGGATGGCCTGCCGGGAAAAAAAAAAAAAAAAAAAAAAAAGCCCCACTTGGAGTGCTGGCCGTATCCGCTGGCGCTTGAACTCAAGATTCCTCGCTCGAGTTCGAGGTGCGGGATTTGGCCCCAACAGTGCGACCGTAGATGGCGCATCATGGCGGGAATGGATGAACAGGACGGGGTAGATCCTACGGGCGAAGAGGATTGGTGCGACCGTAGATGGCGCATCATGGCGGGAATGGATGAACAGGACGGGGTAGATCCTACGGGCGAAGAGGATTGGATGTGAAGGCTGAATATGGACGTAAGTGAGGTGAAGTGCAGGGCGAAAGGCGATTGGACAAAAGAAACAAAAAAAACAAAACAAAAGGCGATTGGACAGCTTTTCTGCATCTACTCCGAGAACATGTTCAGAGTCAGGAGCTGAATCCAATCCCTCTTTGGCAGTGGGACCTCGGCCCAGGAATGCATAATCCAGCTGGAAGCTAAGCGGGACCTTTTGTTTTTTTTTCTTTTTTCTAAGCTGTCTTTGAAAAACAAAACAAAAAACAAAAAACAAAGGGCGGGACCTGTGGCCTGTCCTTGGGCGGGAGAAGACTAGGTAATCCTCGATGCAGGCGGAGTGATCTGGGGCGAAGTCCCACTTACGCTGATTCTTCATTTCTGGCTGTTGATCTTTGTAATCTACGGTCAGAAGGCTCAGAAATTGAAATTTTGGGTAAGTGGGACTTGGCCCCTGTGTGGCCTGGCTGCAGGGTGCCTATAGTAGACATTTTGGCGCCTCGCTCCACTAATCTCGAAATGTGAAAAACGACAGTGAATCTTTCGCTAGAACATGGAAAGATACTCCGCCATACTTTTTTTCGTCTTATTATCTGCATGTCGAGAGTAGTGGAGCGAGGCCCGTGCCCTGCTCATCCACGTTGCCGACCGACAGAGTGTGGCTTCCACAGTCATTGCACACAACGACATGTCGGTTTCAGATGATGTAGTTTGTATAAAGTGCAAGCGAGAAGGGCGCTTGAATTGGGAGAAGGGCAATGACAGCCACGCTGCGAGGTGGGAAAGAGGGAGCGTGTACGCACCTTCAGCCTCTCTCCTCCTCTCCAACCCGGACTCTCTCCCCCTTTCCTCTTCCACTCCCACTTCTCTGGTCGCCTGTATCCGCGGTAGTTTGCCCCGTCGTGCCCGCAGAGTCTCTGCTTGGTGCACGGATATGTTCTTTGATACATAACTAGAGATAGAGGTCGACATACAGGTTCAGACACACACACACACACACAGAGCTGTCTCTTATACACATCTAGATGTGTATAAGAGACAGGAGAGAGAGAGAGAGAGAGAGAGAGAGAGAGAGAGAGAGAGAGAGAGAGAGAGAGAGAGAGAGAGAGATGGAAGGCAGAGGTTGTAGCCGAGTGAGTAGGAGGAAGGGGATGGGATGCGTGATAGTGATGCTGTTAGCAATGGTTGGGAGGGTGGTGGGATTGATTGTGGCAAAGGATGGTACGGGGGACTTCATGAAACTTGGGCAGGCGTTGAACGCCGCCAGTCCTGGGACGCGGATCATCGTCAAGCCCGGTGAATACCGGGAGAAGGTGGTGGTGACCACTCCCAACATCGTTCTGATCGGCACGCCAGGGCAGTCCGTGATCGTGCAAAGCGACAGCGCCAGCGACGCGGGCAGCACGTTGCTGTCCGCCACCTTCACCGTCAAAACCAAGGCGACTGGGTTCGTGGCCATGGGCATGGTGTTCAAGAACGATTTCGGACCGAATAGCAACGTCGGCGACCAAGCCGTCGCTGCGGCCATCATGGCAGACAGCTCCTTCTACGACTGCCAATTCCTTGGCTGGCAAGATACGCTGTACGCCAAGAGAGGCAGGCAATACTACAAGGACTGCTACATCGACGGATCGGTGGATTTCGCCTTCGGCGCAGCAACGGCGCAGTTCGTAGACTGTGTGCTGTATGCAAAGAGGAGAGGGAGCCTCACCATAGCCTCTTACACTGCGCAGCAGAGGCTGTCGAGCACCGACACCAACGGCTACGTGTTCATTGGCGGCCATCTCAAGTGCGATGCGGGAGTGAGGGCGTTCCTGGGGAGAGCGTGGGGAAAGTTCGCGCGAACTGTCTTCATCAAAGTGGCGATGGATGACTGCATCGATCCGCTGGGATGGAGCTCGGTGGGAGACTCGGACATGGGGGCCAGCAGCTTTTCGGCAGAGTACGAGTGCACTGGTCCCGGCGCGGATCGGTCGGGACGCGTGTCGTGGAGCAAAGTCTTGACAGACGCCGAGGCAGCCACCTTTTCGTCGCCGGCGTTCATTGGCGGGCCCAGGGGTCCCCCTGCAGGTACCACGGCTGCTCCTCCCACGACCACGGCTGCTCCTCCCACGACCACGGCTGCTCCCACGACCACGGCTGTTCCCACTACCACGGCTGCTCCCAGCTCCCCAGCTCCCAAGCCGGCGGCTGAGCCCAGCTCAGCACCCAGCTCAGCATAATAGACGTCCGTCTCGGACTCCGAGGCAAGTTACGGCCGCATGGAATAACAGCCCTGCGAAGTTGGAGCTCATTAATAACCTGAATCGATCACCTACTAGTTAAGCAATCAAGTACTCGAAGTAATGACGCCTGTGTTAGCCGGCTAATTTATTTTTATTTATATAGTCGAGCTCGGTAGTGACCAATCAGTGACATTCCATCGATCAAGGATCGAACCGCTCTGGCGACATGTCGTCGGCCGGCCATCTGGAGCTGGGCATCGCGGCGCGAGTACCAGCCACACAGCCGTAAGACCAGAACGGGGAATTCCTACCACTTCCTATAAGTTCCTAGGACTCCAGCTCCGTTTCCGCAGGAGGTACTAGGTGTCATTTCTCCACCGGGTCCACCCCTCTCAGCCCGCATACGTGTGTGAGATTGTCGTACTAAGTACCTCTAGACTCTACTAGTATATAAATGACCACGGCTCCCATCTCCTTGTCCAAATTCTCTTCTTTCCTTTCGTCTCCAATTCTCTCAATTGTGTTTCCCATCTCCCCCCTTTCCCCCTCATTCCC